AAAAAAAAAAAAAAAAAAAGTAAAGCCTCCCAATCCCAAAAAATAGGAACATACCTTCATCACACCAATTTATACTTTATTTCTTATTCTTGAGGTTAAATTCTAAACCCTAAAGATATCCAGACTAGTATTAGATCTACTTATCTCTAGCCAGAGACAGCGTCTATCACGGTGTCCTGAACAGCCAAGGTTATTAAAACATCTTTTCTCCAGGAAGATCCAACAGGATAAAACCAAGAAACCTCTCTGATTAGGCTCCAACCATACCCCACCCTCCATTCAGATTGGCTGGGTAGGCATAATGTAAACAGAACACCTGGTTTCCAAACAAGAAAAATCCTATGAGGGAGGGGAGGTGGGGAGAGGAAGGATTCAGCCAGTGCTCAGAGTGAAACTGAGTCATGTCAGTTCCATTCATCTCCACCCATCTTCAGGTGGCATGTTCGTGGAGTAGTTTAGGAATAAATCCATGGTTTGTGGAGTACTCAAATACCTAGTGGTCTGCTGTATTACATTATGGCTTTCCCCAGAAGTTTCCAAGGCAGCCTCCAAGTCACTGGAGGGAGAATTTGGCTGGAACTGCATGCAGGACTGCAGAGGGTCCTCCCCACAGTTATAGAAGGGACTGCTCCAGGCCTGAGTGTTCCAGGACTGCGTGCACCAGGTCTGAGTGTTCCAGGAGTGGTTGGTCCAGGACTGGATGTTCCGGGTCTGGTTGCTCCAGGTTGAATTGCTCCAGGTCTGGTTGTTCCATACCGGAAAGTTCCCAGTTGTGTTCACCAGGCATCCCTGGTGGTAGGAAGAGTAGAGGCTGGGGTAGGTGGGTGCTGAGGCCTTCTGAAAGAGAAGGAAGGATTAACAGAAAGGGTACAAAGACAACCACAGCGGTCTGTGACTGGAGCTATGTGTTTCAGGGATGGACAAGATTGAAAGATCACTGAAAGGCCGGGCGCGGTGGCTCACCTGAGGTCGGGAGTTCAAGACCAGCCTGACCAACATGATGAAACCCCGTCTTTAACAAAAAAAAAAAAAAGGAAAAGAAAGATCACTGAAAGGAAAAAACAGAATCAAGTTTCCTGTAACCTGAGTCGCATCACTGGTATTCCTTGGCCAGTTGTTTTTCTGCCACCTCTTAGATTTCATTCTCTGGTTCTGGAACCAGGTCTTCACCTGCAGGAAAAAAATGACAAAAATTGTAAAATATTAGTAATACAGAAGTACTTTGAATAAAAGAATACTGCTGCCGGGCGTGGTGGCTCACGCCTGTAATCCCAGCACTTTGGGAGGCCGAGGTGGGTGGATCACGAGGTCAAGAGATCGAGACCATCCTGGTCAACACGGTGAAACCCCATCTCTACTAAAATTACAAAAAATTAGCTGGGCATGGTGGCGCGTGCCTGTAATCCCAGCTACTCAGGAGGCTGAGGCAGGAGAATTGCCTGAACCCAGGAGGCGGAGGTTGCGGTGAGCCGAGATCGCACCATTGCACTCCAGCCTGGGTAACGAGAGCGAAACTCCGTCTCAAAAAAAAAAAAAAAAAAAAAAAAAAAGAATACTGCTAACATTTATTCCTGCCGGTGCCATGTCTCAGGCCTATAATCTCAACACTTTGGAAGGACAAAGTGGGCAGATTGCTTGAGCCCAAGAGCTCAGGCCAGCCTGGCCAACATAAGGAAACCCATCTCTACAAAAATACAAAAAATTAGCTAGGTGTAATGCTGCATGTCTGCAGTCCCAGCTTCTCAGGAGGTTGAGGTGGGAGGATCATTTGCACCCAGGAAGTAAATGTTGCAGTGAGCAGAGATTGTACCACTGCACTCTAGCCTGGACGACAAAGCAAGACTGTTCTCAAAAAAAAAAAAAGACATTTGGATAGAAAATAAAGTCTAGCTAAGGCCAGAAGTGGTGGTTCATGGCTGTAATCCTAGTGCTTTGGGAGGCTGAGGCGGGTGGATCGCATGAACTCCATCCTGGCCAACATGGTGATACCCAGGCTACTGAAAATACAGAAAAATTCGCCAGGTGTAGTGGTGGACGGCTATAATCCCAGCTACTTGGGAGTCTGAGGCAGGAGAATCCCTTGAACCTGGAGGTGGAGATTTCATTCATTTGTTTGTTTTGTTTTTTTTTTGAGACGGAGTTTGGCTCTCGTTACCCAGGCTGGAGTGCAATGGCGCGATCTCGGCTCACCGCAACCTCCGCCTCCTGGGTTCAGGCAATTCTCCTGCCTCAGCCTCCTGAGTAGCTGGGATTACAGGCACGCACCACCATGCCCAGCTAATTTTTTGTAGCTTTAGTAGAGACGGGGTTTCACCATGTTGACCAGGATGGTCTCGATCTCTTGACCTCGTGATCCACCCACCTCGGCCTCCCAAAGTGCTGGGATTACAGGCTTGAGCCACGGCGCCTAGCAATTTCATTCATTTGTACTTAAACCAGCCAAAGTAGAATTGATGTCATTACAACTTCTCATTATGCCAAATTATAACACCACTGCACTCCAACTTGGGCAACACAGCGACACTCGTGAGAAGGAAATAAAGGAAATAAAGCCTAGAAGAGGATAAGGCAATTAATGAAAGAAAATGACCAGGCCGGCGCGGTGGCTCACGCCTGTAATCCCAGCACTTTGGGAGGCCAAGGCAGGTGGATCACAAGGTCAGGAGTTCGAGACCAGCCTGGCCAAGATGTTGAAACCCCCGTCTCTACTAAAGATACAAAAATTAGCTGGGCATGGTGGCACACGCCTGTAATCCCAGCTACTCAGGAGGCTGAGACAAGAGAATCGCTTGAACCTGGGAGGCGGAGGTTGCAGTGAGCTGAGATCGTGCCATTGCACTCCAGCCTGGGTGACAGAGTGAGACTCTGTCTCGAAAAAAAAAAAAAAAAAAAAAAAAAAAATGACTAATAAGTAATGAACAGTGATTGGCCTTATTAGCAAGCAAATGCACACAGATAAAAACGAAACAAGCTGGAGTTTGCTGGCAGAAAGAAAAAAAAATTATTTTAATGAGAACCTGTGTGAGTACAGATTCTCCTAACCTCGCAAGTAGAGTTACATACTTCTTTTTGATTAAGAAAACATTGGACCGGGCACGGTGGCTCATACCTGTAATCCCAGCACTTTGGGAGGCTGAGGCAGGTGGATTGCCTGAGGTCAGGAGTTCGAGACCACCCTGGCCAACATAGTGAATTCCCATCTCTACTAAAACTACAAAAAATTAGCCAGGCATGGTGTCACATGTCTGTAATCCCAGCTACTTGGGAGGCTGAGGCAGGAGAGTCACTTGAACCCAGAAAGCAGAGGTTGCAGTGAGCAGAGATTGTGCCATTACACTCCAGCCTGGGCAACAAGAGCGAGATTCCATCTCAAAAAAAAAAAAAAAAAAGAAAAGAAAGAAAATGTTGACAAGATTTTCACAATATTGGTCTATGCAAGAAAAGATTGGTTGGGCCGGGCGTGGTGGCTCAAGCCTGTAATCCCAGCACTTTGGGAGGCCGAGGCGGGTGGATCACGAGGTCAAGAGATCGAGACCATCCTGGTCAACATGGTGAAACCGCGTCTCTACTAAAAATACAAAAAATTAGCTGGGCATGGTGGTGCATGCCTGTAATCCCAGCTACTCAGGAGGCTGAGGCAGGAGAATTGCCTGAACCCAGGAGGCGGAGGTTGTGGTGAGCCGAGATTGTGCCATTGCACTCCAGCCTGGGTAACAAGAGCGAAACTCCGTCTCAAAAAAAAAAAAAAAAAAAGACTGGTTAAATTATGTCACATTCACATAATATTTAATGAAATGAGGTGAAGAAAGTTACAAAAGCATTTCATCTTCATACTTAATTGCAAGTGCGGATGTGCTGACACACAGCACACACATCTATGTGCATCCACTGAGATCTTAGCCATGCAAATTAGCCTAATTTTTGTTCATCTTATTGCAATGACAAAACAAGCCACCTGTTTGTAGCTGAGGTTCAGGATGCTGGAAAGTTCTTGCATCTGCTGAAGGCTGAGGTATTTCTGTCTCTGAAATCTGTCATTGAGCACACACAGCTGGGTGGAAGAGAACACAGTTCTGGTCTTCTGTCTCTTGACCGGGACCTTGTCTTCCTTTGCTGTGGCGCTACTCTCTGCAGCAGTGGGTCGTTTGCCTTTGGGACTGGTGGAAGAATCTGGGCTGTCCTGAATAAGCAGATCCATGGAGGAAGGAAGAGGCGACACTGTTGGGAACAAATAAAAGGACGATTTTCTCTAAAACGTTTTTCAAATATTAAAATATACTGCTAATAAATTTGTTTTCAAAGTACTTTGGTAATCCCCACAACCCAAGCCCAAGTTCTAAGCAGTAAGGAGCACCTTCTTCTTCTTTTTTTTTTTTTTTTTTTTTTTTTTTTTGAGACTGAGTTTCGCTCTTGTTACCCAGGCTGGAGTGCAATGGCTCCATCTCGGCTCACCGCAACCTCCGCCTCCTGGGTTCAGGCAATTCTCCTGCCTCAGCCTCCCAAGTAGCTGGGACTACAGGCACGTGCCACCATGCCCAGCTAATTTTTGTATTTTTAGTAGAGACGGGGATTCACCATGTTGACCAGGATGGTCTCGATCTCTTGACCTCGTGATCCACCCGCCTCGGCCTCCCAAAGTGCTGGGATTACAGGCGTGAGCCACCGCGCCCGGCCCAGGAGCACCTTCTTTACCAACCCTGGACACTTTTTACAGTATTAATCCAAGAAGTCTCAATATCTCCGTTTTGCATGTTATGGATGGAGTTATCTCTAACGGCGTGCACGACAATACCATAGCTGAATGGTGCTACCACTTCTTTTTTTTATTGTTGAGTTGCAGTCTTCCTCTTGTTGACCAGGGTGGAGTCCACCGCAACTTGTGCCTCCTGGGTTCAAGTGATTCTCCTGCATCAGCCTCCTGAATAGCTGGGATTACAGACCTGCACCACCACCACATTGGGCAGTTTTTAGTAGAGACAGAGTTTCTCCATGTTGGTCAGGCTGGTCTCAAACTCCTGACCTCAGGTGATCCACCCGCCTCAGCCTCCCAAAGTGCTGGGATTTCAGACTTGAGCCACTCTGCCCTACCGGTGCTACCACTCTTTACTTTCAACTGATGCTAAAAAGCCCCGGCATTGGCTCCACCGATTTCCACCCACTGCATCTCACCCTAAATCACTTTGTTTAATGATCTTCATCACCACCTACATGACTGTTTAAATGACATGATTGCTGTGGTGGCTCACGCCTGCAATCCCAGAACTTTGGGAGATTAAGGCAGGCAGATCACTTGAGGTCAGGAGTTCAAGAGCAGCATTGGCCAACATGGCAAAACCTTAACTCTACTAAAAATTACAAAAATTAGCGAGGAGTGGTGGCACAAGCCTATAATCTCAGCTTCTGGGCAGGCTGAAGCAAGAGAATCGCTTGAACCCGGGAATCGGTGATTGCAGTGAGCTGAGATTGCACCACTACACTCCAGCCTGGGCGACAGAGTGAGATTGTATCTCAAAAATTAAAAATAAACAGGGGTGGGTGGGGCAAAAAAATAAAAATTAAACAATTAAAATCAAAAATAAAAACCAGGCTGGGCGCGGTGGCTCATGCCTATAATCCCAGCACTTTGGGAGGCCGAGGCGGGTGGATCACGAGGTTAAAAGATCGAGGCCATCCTGGTCAACAAGGTGAAACCCATCTCTACTAAAAATACAAAAATTAGCTGGGCATGATGGTGCATGCCTGTAGTCCCAGCTACTCGGGAGGCTGAGGCAGGAGAATTGCTTGAACCCAGGAGGTGGAGGTTGCGGTGACCCGAGATCGTGCCATTGCACTCCAGTCTGGGTAACAACAGCGAAACTCCGTCTCAAAAAAAAAAATAATAATAAAATAAATAAATAAGTAAAAACCAAAAAACATGCCGGGCACGGTGGCTCATGCCTGTAATCCCAGCACTTTGGGAGGCCGAGGTGGGTGGATCACGAGGTCAAGAGATCGAGACCATCCTGGTCAACATGGTGAAACCCCGTCTCTGCTAAAAATACAAAACATTAGCTGGGCATGGTGGCGCGTGCCTGTAATCCCAGCTACTCAGGAGGCTGAGGCAGGAGAATTGCCTGAACCCAGGAGGCGGAGGTTGCGGTGAGCCAAGATCGCGCCATTGCACTCCAGCCTGGGTAACATGAGTGAAACTCCGTCTCAAAATAAATAAATAAATAAATAAATAAAAACCAAAACCAGCAACTGACTGCCCAGCTCACAATGCTGGGACCAGCGGCAGATGTGAATTTGGATAGGCTTCTGTTTCAATCCCTTTCCTAGCTATCTGACCTCATCTCCAGCATTATTTATTAAAATGAGGTAACCAATTACAGTGGTCTAGCTGGGGCCTGGCATATACTGATTTTGTAACTAGAAATTAATTTCCTATAGTACTTAGACTTAGTCGTCACTTAAATACTTAATTGCTCTGAGGTGATCCCAGGGTTCAGCTCTCAATGCTATCCTGCACTCAGAGCAAATGGACAGGCTCTAAAACAGAAAAAAGTCAATCTCCTGCCTCTTAAAAGAGATCTGAAAAGCAGAGGAAGTCTTCAACTGATTATTAGAATTGGTGAAAATCCTAAATATTAACTAGCTATATAAACTGTCACTTTATGTGTGCTAAAGAAAACATGCCCACTTGCCCATTCCCAAACCCAGCCCTGTATTTTTAACACTGTAAATTATAAAGATGACAAGGTGCAGTGGCTCAAGCCTGTAATCCCAACACTTTGGGAGGCCGAGGCGGGCGGATGACCTGAGGTCAGAAGTTTGAGACCAGCCTGGCCAAGATGGTGAAGACCTGTCTCTACTAAAAAATACAAAAACTTAGACAGGCATGGTGGTGCATGCCTGTAATCCCAGCTACTCAAGAGGCTGAGGCAGGAGAATCACTTGAACCCGGGAGGCGGAGATTGCAGTGAGCCAAGATTGAGCCATTGCGCTCCAGCCTGGGCAACAAGAGCAAAACTCTCTCAAAAAAAAAAAAAAAGAAAAGAAAAACAAGGTGACATTCAAACCTAAGGCGCAAATACAGCAATCGTGTTTACTTATTCCTCTCACAACCTCATCTTTACAAGTGAGTTCATAATGTAAATGCAGTTTTTAAGCTGGTTTTTTTCTTAGCGCCCCACCCCCATTTTTAAGCTGTTTTATACCATCAGTGTTACCAAAGGCATTCACTTTTAAATTTTTTAAAACCTCTGAAAAATTGATTTTCAAGAAAGTGGTAACAGTTTTATGAGTATTCCTCACCCATTGCTGCTACCGTCAGAAGCATGAGTACTAGCACAGGTCTTGAAGTCAAATTGGACTTCTAGCTAAGTCCTATTTGAGTGTCAGTAGATTAAACTTTCTGGAATTAATCTTTACCAGAAAGTTGGGTCAACACTTCTCAGGGCCTTAGGAGAAGTAAACATGGGAGGCGCTCCCAAACTCAGTTGTCCAGTAACCTCCACAAACCCAGAGAATAGAGGAGAGCCAGCCATTACTGACACGGAAAGAATGTAATTACATAAATCACGTATTAATTACATAAATCTCATCATGATTTCCCTTGCCATTTTTGGCAAAACAAAAACATGATGCTATCCCGCAGCTGTGATGTCAGGTCTTCTGGTTAATTAGCAATAACATCTGCTATAACTGTGTGCCCAGTGCTATGTGAAGATGTACGCATCACCCTCATTTAACTATGACGATACATTTTTGTTTCCACCGTGCCTAAACCCATAGGTTCTCATATTTACAGTGCAGTGCTCAGCTGCCTAATTCTGTCCTTCAGCTCAGTGCACACTCCTGAGACCTGGGACAGAGTTCAAAGCGCAGGTGCCACCAAAGTTACAATCGAAAGGGGGGTTTCCAGAGGGCTGGTTGATAATATCACTTGCTTATTAGTGATGGGTATCATTGCTCAAGAGGGAAACGATCTCTTAATCCTCTCCTTCCCTTTTCCCTTAAGGAACTTGGCCTTTCAAGGATAAATCTTTTTGCACCAGGTGGGGTGGCTCACCCTGTAATCCTAGAAGTTAGCACTTTGGGAGGCTGAGGTGCATGATCACCTAAGGTCAGGAGTTCGAGATCACCCTGGCCAACATGGCAAAATCCCGTCTCTATTTAAAAAAAAAAAAAAAAGGATAAATTTGTTTCTTACCAGTCTCTGTGTGAGGCATCTCAGCAGAACACATTTGCAAGGATGGATAATTTTCTTCAGGCTCACAAATCACAGGCGCAGGTGAAGATTCTCCACAGTCGGATGCTTCGGAGCAAGGCAGGCTTTGTGAACAAACTGGATCCATACTCATGTTATTATTGGGGAAGAGAATGAAAAAATTTAAGACCTGGACTGAAAAAATGGCTAAGGCAGCCTTAAGACTTTTTTCTGGAAAATTTTAGAGAAATATGACCTCCAGAAGCAAAGTATCAGGAAGTTGGAATGAAGTGAGTCACCTCTGCAGTAACTGGAGGCAACCAGCTGAGTCCAGCAAAACGTTAACATCCTGGAGGCTCTAGATTTATAATGAAGGCTCTATCACCTTAGACCCACCCCTCCTGGCGGGCACACCCCCCTCCGACCCACCCTTGTGAATTCTCAGTTAATCCCGTCTGCCAGTCTCACCATGGCCATTGTAATGCAAAAGTAACGGCGCAGTAACCCAGACTAGCGGGGGAGCTGGAAAGCTGGGCAGAGGGGACCCTGAAAACAAACCCAGCAATAAATACTTCTAGGTTCACTACCTTTCAACCTTTTAAATGAGGAAGGGCTCAACAGGAATGGGATAAAACTTTAATATTTTAAAAATAAAAAGGCCGGGCACGGTGGCTCACGCCTGTAAGTGGAAGTAGATACCTCCTAAGGCAGATTATGAGGTCACAGGCCGAGACCATCCTGGTCAACACGGTGAAACCCCGTCTCTACTAAATATACAGAAGTAGCCAGGCTGGTGGGGGGCGCCTGTTGTCCCAGCTATTCGGTAGACTGAGGCAGAATTGCTTGAACCCGTAAGGGAGAGATTGCAGTGAGCCGAGATCACTCCACTGCACTCCAGCCCAGCAACAGAGCAAGACTCCGAGTCAAAAAATCATATATATGGGCCGGGCGCGGTGGCTCAAGCCTGTAATCCCAGCACTTTGGGAGGCCGAGGCGGGTGGATCACGAGGTCAAGAGATCGAGACCATCCTGGTCAACACGGTGAAACCCCGTCTCTACTAAAACTACAAAAAATTAGCTGGGCATGGTGGC